AAAAAAAAAAAATTATACGGGCATTAGATCACGCCGTCTCCCCCCCACAACCCATTCAATTAAAAAATAATAATTAGGGTACCTATCTACGCGAATTAAAAAATAAAATAGTCAACGAACTTCATCCCCCTGTGTATTCCTTCAAATTGAGCATCAGGTATATTAATTACCTATTGATCTAAATTGTGTATATTATTATTGTTCTAATATTCTGTTGAATTAACATCATTACGTGATTACGTCACAAAAGGTTAACTTCGAAGACTAATTTAACCTCAGACCATAGGTAACCTACATACATTATAGGTATTTATTATAATATTATTTAACTATACGTCTATAGCCATTATGATTAATAATTTATACTACATCACAATATCTTAAAAACTTACATAGGTAATATATAAATTGTTTATTTATTACGAGTTCATCATAATATGACTTCCCAGTGAAGATAAGATAAGTACGAATCTCATGTTGCATGTTAGCGAGTAACAATCTCCTTTTATCTATATTCTATAGTCTATACTCTATACCTATTTCCTACCTGAAACCAACCACTTAGTCTATTAATTATTACATATTGTAAACACGTTAAATGTTAATTGTTTTATTAGGCTTTTTTATTCATGTAAGTAATGCAATATATTATACCGAGGTACCTAGTTAACTCTAAAAAAAGTGATAAATTAATATTTACCATTTTATCATTTTATATGTAGGTAGGTACCTATACTATCTAAAAGGTATAGGAATTTATTAATTAAACGTATTTGAATTTTGAGTTATTTACATCTTTTTTTTTTTTATTATTATAAAGATGCATTTAAGGTTGAGTATAATATATAATTTATACAAATTAATATGTCTAGATTATTGTATTAGTAAAAATTTAATATTTGTTTATTATTGCAGTGTAAGAAATATTCATAATGGACCAACAAAACGTATTACCAAACTTTTGATAGCCAATAGAGGAGAAATAGCTTGCCGTATTATTAGAACAGCACGTCGTTTACAAATCGAAACTGTTGCTGTTTACAGCGATGTTGACAAAGATTCAATGCATGTGGCTATGGTATAAATATTAATGTTTTATTCTTTTATTTAATAATACAACTATTATGTATTAACATACTTTAAATGTGTTTTAAGGCCGATCAAGCAGTTCATGTTGGTCCAGCTCAAAGTATACACAGTTACTTGCTTAAAGACCGCATTGTTAACGCAGCAATTAAAACAAATAGCCAAGCTATTCATCCTGGCTATGGTTTTCTATCAGAAAACACTTCATTTGCTCAATATTGTCAAAGTAACAACATAATATTCATTGGTCCTCCGCCTAATGCTATTGAAAGTATGGGAATCAAAAGGTAAATGTTCATTGGAATTTAAATATTATCATCATCTAAAAATAAATATTTTAAATAATGGTAGTAAGTCAAAAGAAATAATGTCTGAAGCTGGTGTTCCAGTAGTTGAAGGATATCATGGTAAAGATCAAAATTCAGATTTCCTTCAACACCAAGCTAATAAAATTGGTTATCCTGTTATGATCAAAGCGATTAAAGGTGGAGGGGGTAAAGTAAGATTAAATTTTCAAATTTGCTATATTTATTATTGTTATTGTGAAATAAAGTGTACATATTTATATTGTTATATAATAAGGGCATGAAAATTGTTTCCAAAGAATCTGAGTTTTTTGAAAATCTTATGTCAGCAAAAAGAGAATCATTAAGTTCATTTGGTGATGATTCAGTCTTAATTGAAAAGTACATTCAAGAACCTAGACATGTTGAAGTACAGGTATTTGCTGATCAACATAAAAATTGTGTCTATTTGTTTGAACGGGACTGTAGTATACAAAGACGTCACCAAAAAGTCATGGAAGAAGCACCTGCTGTAAGGTTTTTTAAGTAATTTAAACATTGATTAGTTTTAAATTTTAATCAACATAATAATTTATAGCCTAGATTAAGTGAGAATTTAAGACAACATCTTGGAGAAACTGCAGTCCGTGCGGCAAAAGCTGTTGGTTATGAAGGTGCTGGTACTGTGGAATTCATATTTGATAATGCAACCAATAAGTTTTATTTTATGGAAATGAACACTAGATTACAAGTAGAACATCCTATTACTGAGATGATCACTGGGGTGGATTTAGTAGAATGGCAAATTAAAGTACTTAAAATTAATTTGATCATGAATGTAACGTAACAAAAAATAAACAGTGGTATTGCAGGTAGCTGAAGGTGAAAAATTGCCTTTAAGACAGAATGAGATCAAATTTCGAGGACATTCAGTTCAAGCACGCATTTATGCTGAAGATCCTTATAATAATTTCTTACCTGCTGCTGGAAATTTACAATATTTAGACTATCCTACTGTGTCTGATGATGTGCGTGTAGAAACTGGAGTACAGCAAGGAGATGATGTTTCTGTGCATTATGATCCTATGATTGCAAAATTAGTAGTTTGGAGTGAAACTCGATCAGGTGCATTTACTAAGCTAAAAAACAACTTGGCAGCATTTAATGTAAGAAATATTATTATTTTCTATATTACCGAATATTTTAATTCAATGATAATTAATAATTGTAGATTGCAGGTTTATCGACAAATGTCCAATTTTTAATGTCACTGTGCGCACATCCTGAACTTTTAAAAGGTAATGTTCATACAGGATTTATAGAACAACATAAAAATGTTCTTCTATCAAAAAACTTACCTAGTCCTGAATTGATTTCTCAAGTAAATATTTTTATATTTAATTTATTACCTAATTTTATTATTCATTTTAAAAAGCTTATTTTATTTTATTGTTTTAGGCAGTTATTGCTTTAATATTGTATAATGAGAATAAAACTATTAGTACAAATATTAATACCAGTGATCCATATTCACCTTTTGCTACTCAAACTGGTTTCCGGGTGAATCATAATTATTTACAAAAAATAAAACTCAAACATAACCTTTGTGGAGGTAAAACATATACAAAGTACATTTTATAATTTAGTAATTAAATATTGCATAACACTATTGGTTTTGATTTCAGAACTGTATGATGTGAGAATTGAGTACTATGGAGTAGGATCTAGTGACAGTAGATTTAATATATATTTCAAAAATAAAGATACCGAAATTGAATCAAATGTTAGGGGTAGTTTAGATACATCATCGTCCAATAAATTCCATTTAACATGTGTTGTAGATGGTACATTGTATAAATCCAATATTGCATTTATAGAAAACTCTGTACATTTATTTAATAAGGTATTGTTGTTTTTAATAAGATATTTTAAAATAGGTATGAAAGTATATAAATATTTATTTGTATGTATAGGATGGTGAAAATGAATTTACTGTTATTTTACCTTTTGATGAAAAAACAATTGACAGTAATGAACAAGATACAGAAAGCAATGAAACTATTTTAGCTCCCACCCAAGCTACAGTAGAAAGAGTAAATGTGAGTCTTGGTGATAATGTTTGTGTTGGTGATCCAATAATAGTTTTAACAGCCATGAAAATGGAAGTAAGTAAAATATGCTTTAAATGAATTATATTTATATGTATGTTTTAATTTACCATAAATGTTATTTCAGTATGTAGTCAAAGCTCAAATTGAAGGAAAAATAGAAAAAATTTTACGTAAAGAAGGTGATAGTGTCAGAAAAGGAGAATTGTTAGTAAAAATTACACCTAAAATTTGATTTGTTGTACATTGTTATACATTTTTATTAAGAATAAAATATTTTATTTTATAATTAGTTTAAAATTATTTATACCATTGATTTAGCAGTATAGATATATCACAAATACATTATACTATAATGTATCTTTGTAATTTGAATTTTGTGCATGTCTTACATAAAAATTAGATTATCGTATGATTTAATTTATCAAGCTACGTTGATAGTAAACTAAACCATGTTTTGGTTTAAGCTGAAATTCTAGAGTAAACTGAATATCAATAAAATAGTATGAGAATTATGAGTTATGAATTTATGAATATAATATTCCAAGGTTTATTGCATTATTATGTTTTTTTTTAATACTTAATAAAAATTTGTTATAAATTACTATAAAATTAAAATGTATAATAGTATCTTATATTTGAGATTTAGAAACCTATAATAATTTACTATTTTATGATGTTCTTTTAAAAAATATTTATATTCAATTTAAATCTTGATATGTACGAGTAAGTCATATGTAATATAGGTAATTAATAATTAGTATTTTAAATACATTAAAAGATAATTAAATGTGAATTAATAAATCATATTTTTCAATTTTTGGTGAATTTGATGAGGTGTTGAACTTATAGTCATGGTAACTTAAAATCTAATTAAATTTTTTTTTTATGCTTTCAAGTCATCAATGCTTCCACTACTTGTTTCTAAACTTCCCGATTGACATCTTCAATTCTTGTTATTCTTAGATTTTCAGAATCTTTGTTTACTCTATTAAAAAATACATTTTAGGATTATTAAAGGAATTTGAAACAAATCATAATCAACAAGAATTTTTTGTTTTTATAAGATTGAAGCTAAGTTGTAAATATTCACTATTCACTATTGTTGTAATTTGCAAACATTAGTAATACAAATGTTACATTTAAATACATTTAAATAATATCGAAGTATGCTGAAAAAAATAATGCGGATTAAACAAATAAACACTAATGTAGATTCCTAGTTCCTACTAATCACAATCGTAAATAAAATATAGAACCTATACAACTACTTGGGATTCAACTATATTTATCTACAGCAGAGCTAGTACTTATTTTTTTTTATAGTATTACTATTTACTATAATATTGAAAATTAATTATTATTTATTAATCAATACTTTTTAATAATATATTTTATAATCTCTAAACTTAAATTTACGCGCGCACAATTATCACTATCACAAGAACAAGACTAACGTTTATCAGTCGAAAAAACGTGCTAATCACAAATAATAGATATTATTATTAAGATATCAGTAAAGTACACATTTTTAGTTTTACTCCTGTTGAACATTTGAAATTTGAATTTTAAATTTAAAACCTTATTGCGAACACTAAACGTCTGATGTATTGTACTACATTTAATTTGAACAGTTTTTTATAATTTAATTGTTTTTGTCACGAAATTTAAGATGGGAAAAGTACGTAGGTACAAGAAGAAATTAGCCAAAGCCGCAGAAGGAACAACAAACCGCGAAAGTGGAAATGAACAAACAAATTATTTGTTATTGGCTGAAGAGCTAATGAAAATGAAAAAGGATGATGACAAGATGAGTGTCTGTTCTGTGATGAAGAGTGTCAAATCTTGTGGCGGCGGTGAATCTCTAAAATTGAAAAAAGACGCAAAGCGGTGTTTAAAACATGCGTTCCTGATAAAAAGTTTGTGATTTCAATTTAAAAATTTGAATTATAAATATTTTATTTTATTGAAGATAATTACTTTGACTTTTTGTATTAATAGAGCTTGGAGTGACACAGAAAAAATTGAAAAAGAAAAAAAAAAAGTCTAATGATGATGACAGTGACAATGAAGACAATGACGATGATGATAATGGTGATATTGAAATGAGCAATCAAAAAGTACTAGATTGGCCTGTTGGAATAACAAATAATAGCGATACAAGAGTTGCTCCTGTTAAAAAACATAGAAAAGGATTCCAAAAAAAACAAAACGCCCAATTGTAAATAACATTAGTACATAATATTTATTCATCTTGACTTAATCTTCTCTATGATTAATTTTCAGAGCTAAAGACTTGACGTTATTTTCCAAAAAAATTAAAAAGCAATTGAAGCATCCTGATCAAAATATCTTCAAAACAACCAATTAATTTTTCAACTACATTTTTAACATTTGTATTAAAATTTAAAACATATTTTTATTTTATAAAATATTTTTGTTGATTGGTTATAACTTTTGTTTATCTAATACACTTTTAATTTATAAACAAATGTTTTGAATACCCAATACTAATTAACTGTTAGCTTTCTTAAAAATGTTAGATGATATACAAGTATTAACTTTATATTAATTGTAGAAGGAAGTTTCTCAAGCTTCAAAGTATAATGCATCAATATAGTTTTTTTTAATACATAAATTTAAAAAAATATTACTTCTTAAAATTTTTAAATTCTAAGAGAAGTAATGAATGTATTGTTCTTATAATAAGTGTTTTATTTGTGTGTATGTACAAAAATTATGGCATACATTTTATAATAAAAAAAAATACTTAGCTTTTTAACTTAGAGGGTGGTTTCTGACAACCAACCAGATGTCTGAATCTTTAGTTTATTCTTTGGGGAATCAACAGTAAACAACTTTATATATTATAAATAATATTATAATAGATATTACTTTAATAATTAAATACTAATAATATTATGATAAATACAATATTATTGGAAAAATTTTATCAGCCTATTACAATACCATATGTTAAATAAATGACTAATAGCTAGGTATGACAAAAAAAACATTATATCGCTTGATAACATAGGCTAATTGATGTATTCAAATTTAGCAGACCTACAGGCTTCAATAGCGATCCATTCAACACCTAGTGTACAACAGAGCAGTACTGTGTTACTCGCTTCTTCTTTATTGTTATATTTTTTAAGTTTTTATATTTTTGAATGACAACATACATTTTTAATATATTTAATTTTTTCCTAAAATATCGTATTTATTATATTATTAATATTTATTTTTAAAATAATACATACTTATATATCATATTATTATATCAACTTATACAACTCAAAATTTAATAATATCATTCTGTAAGTTCTAAAAAAAAAAAATAGTAAATAAGATAAGATTGATAAAACATAATATAGTTTTTTATAAGCATGTGTAGTTCTAATTTTAATAAAATTCGTTAAATTGACGAAAATTTGCAAATAATTTAAAAAAATGTTCAAGTTTTAGCAGTAAAACTTTAAAATTTAATCCAAAGGTTTTTATAAGAGTAGGTTCATACTGAAATCAAAAATTCTAAGCAATATATCAGCACTTTATTTTTATAAGCCTATATTTGAATTTGAATTTTACATAAAATAAGATACTTAAACGATGTATAACGGTTTTAGTTATTTTGTAACAATTCAAAAATAGATATATATTATTCATAAAAGTCTTAAACTTATAACGTATACCTGTCTAATATTATATTTTGTATACTTAATGTAAAATCCTCTTTGGAAATTATGGAAGATTTTATCCGAAGATAATGATTTTTTCGCCAGTTATAGTTTAGTCCCTCCTCTTCGTTTTACTGTTTAAGCTTCACTAGGTACTTATGGAATATTCATCCTATTATAATATATAACTAGGCAAGATTTAAAAATTATATTTTTGGTACGGGAAGTGTTCGTACTCTATTGATATCCTGTGAAAATACCTGTGAAACGTAAAATAATATTTACCTAGCCACCTAGGTATATATATATATATATATATATATATATTGGCTATTTAACAAAAATTATTTGCATGTATTAAATATAGGTACCTACCAACTTTTTTGTAGGTTTTATTTTTAGCATAGTTACGGTTTTACTTTATTAGATTGTTATTAACTATACACAATAAGTAAATAAAATAATATTATGTATTTATTCAGTGAAGTATAAATTATTATTAATACATATCTTATAACAAGTGATATTATATCTAGGCGTATAATAAACATAATATTTTATATTATATATAGGCCCGGAAAGTTTACAAAGTATACTTTTCGTTGTCGCATACAAGTTATTAACATTAATACTATAACAGTGTTGGTATACTGAATACAGATTATTATCAAGTACTTTATAGGTATTACCTGTAAGTAAATAACGCATTGACATAAAAAAAAAAAAAAACGTGAACGAAGTATAAATTTAAAATATTGGAAAATGAAAAGTGTACTATTTATAGGCAATAACATAATATTATAAACGTATGTAATAAAAAATATAATAATACATAGTACTGTTTGATTAGTTTGTATATAATAATAATTATAAATAAAAAATGTTATATGGCATTCCTTTAATAATATCATAAGTTGATAATATATTACTTATAGGTTGGGCGTAGCGGGTTGTATTATAGGTAAGTATTTACAATGTAAAATATTTTTATATTTTTATATACTCGCATACACGCGAGTAAATTATAAACAAATGTAAACTCGGCCTCGATGCAATAGGAGGAAATAAAAAGATTGGTTGTAAATTCGGTACAGATATTTTGTTTTCACCACAACTACGTTAAATAAACACGACTAGAATCAATCTGTTGACAACAAACAATGAACGTGTTGTTGTGAACATAGCCAAAGGTTGTTGGAAATCACGTGGGAGACAAAAAAAAAAAAAAACTGCGACAACGACGGATTTCTAATTAATGGACGCTTCTTCGGTTTAAAAAATACGTAAAATAACTTTTTGTAGTCATTAACTAGGTACTTGATGTTAGTGACGATATTATAGCTTTATCTCGTTTTCATCGATCATTTTAAATATGTAATTAAAATGAATAAAACATTTTCATAAAATAACCAGAACCATTCCCTCGCCATGTATAGGGTGATGATAATATTATGCTAAATGACTCTCGACATAATAATAATAATAAAAAAAAAAAAAAACATTTACATCCGGTTATTTCTGCATTTCAATAATATTCAAGTTAAAAAAAAAAAAATTGAGTCTAAAGTTTGCATGTCAAATTTTACCGGGCAAAAATTACCCGTCGTAATCGGTGCCGAGCTTACAATATATAAAGTCGTTCTTTTTACAACTCGTAATAGTATAATAATAATAATATTATAATAACACGTGTTTACCAATCATTAATTATGCGAGTAAATTATAGGTACATAATAACAATAATATTATTAAGTACATACTTATCGTATTGCGTGATTTTAATTGTTGTTATTGTACGTCATACGTCATGTTAATATTAAAAATTGTTTGCTGTATTTTATCATATTACAGATAAATTTTTTAAGTTTAATAAAGTTAGGCATTTAAGACGTGTCATATTATGATGTATACACGACGATGCAAAAATATACGTCCAAGTCCCAAGGGGAGACTTTAATGTATACCTGCTAAATATTATCCAATCATAATAACAGACAAACAACTAAGCACTATATATATATAAGTACGATTATGTGGTTGCTACGTCAAGGAGAAAAAAGGACGAAGGGCGGTGGTGCGCGTGAACTACCACATCATTTGATTTTACACGCGTTGTCGAGATATTTGTGCAGACTTGCGGCGATCGCCTGTTTGTCGCGTCCGCTGCTGGCACTGCGGTTGAAGTACTTCTGCTGCTGCTGGTGGTGGTGATGGTCTTTGCCACGAACTCCCCCGCCGGCGGTGCCGCAACTGCCGTTGGTGGCCGCTTGACCGTACTTGCTCAGGCCCCGGAAGTATTCCCGGCGCAAGTCCGCGGCCGTTTTGGGCTTGGCGGGCGGTGTCGCGGCCACCGTGAGAGTGATGGACGAGTCGTTGACGGATATCTCGTCGCAGCTGTAACTCGAATCGAAGTTGCTGCCGCTTCGGCCGATCGGCGTGTCCGGTTTCGCGTCTTCCGCTTTGCTGCAGGCCGCGGATGCGGCGGCGATCTTGTACGACAGTTCCGACGACGGCGAGTTCTTGACGCTGCCCGACGACTTCCTGCCGCCGTTCATGCGGGGCAGCGAGTTGTATCCGGACGAACCGCTCGACGGGTACGCCTTCTTGGCCGCAGCCGGCGTCTTGTCCGAATGGCAACCGCCGCAACCGTCGACCGTGCTGCTGCACGCCAACGACGACGGACCCGCAGTGACGGTTCGCGATTTCCTTGGCAACGTCGCGCTCCTCGTCAACCTCGCGGCTGGCCACTGTTGTTTCGACTGGTCCTCGTCCTGTAATCAAAATTATTATAGATTTAAACGTGTTAATATTATAATTGTATTTAGAAATCACTATGTATAGCACGGGGGTCTTCACGACCTCATTAACTATATTTACAAGCCTTACTTTTAATTTGTAACATTAAACCATCATAAGACGTAAGACGCTAGCTATCGTTAAAAAATAACATTTGAAAAAAATAAATATATGCCTATTTTACTATTTGTATCTTTAAAGTTTATTAAATCTAATAAATCTTCCTATTGTACGTACTCGTGTGATGAAACTGTCCAATGAAGACCTATTATTTCTTAATACTTAGCATTAAAACCAGGGATGTCATTTGGGGGAGGGATCAGGGTGTGCGGTTGCAACCTTTACTTTTAAAATAGTACTAAATACTGAAAATAGATACCTATCAATACTTATCTATAATACTATTTTCAATAACTATCCTAATATATATTAAATTGGTACCTTATTTTTATTTTGATTTATACGCGCAATCATAAATTCAGACATTATAAACTACATTATTTTTTTGAGCAGCAAAACATAAAACGGACAAATTGTTTTGTCCTTTTTCACAACGAACGGCGTTTTTTAAGTTCAGCCGTTGTTACCGCGAACTCTGTTCCACTGTTCCAGCACTGCATTTGGTTATTGCAGGATCTAAACAAGTGTGTAACACTGTTGTTCCATTTTCAATTTCAGTTAAGACTTGCAACGGAATGTACTCGAATTCGGTTGCTTTGGTTACATCAAGTGCCATGTGAACTCCATAATTTTCTTGATGGACCGATGAAGTCACTCATTGCCTCATCTGGTTTGGCCAGGCCTGCACAAACCTGCCACATTGATGACGAATATGACGATCGGATCTCTAATGCATTACCCGCACCATATGTTACTGCAATATTAGGTATTGATCTATATTGAATCACCGAGCAGGCAGCAGCGGACGGCGATCGGATTTCGACATTGGACATAATATTATGTTCTGTATAATCTTATAGTATTGTAAACGTTAATATATTTTTATGATAAATTTACGCTTAATACTTTTTGAACAGATTATGTTATTCGACGTAGATAGGTTTTATTTATTATAACAAACTGTGTCACACAAACGAATATTATGTATTTCAAGATTATATACAGTTAACATACAATAAATTAGTCAATAGCAGCAATATATTTTAATTTTTGTATCGAAAATACATTTTAATAAAATTCCAATAATAAAAAGTAATGATGCTAAATATTTTTAAAATAGTACTAATTGGCCTGCCGCTCTGTTGAGATAATGTTCAAAATTAAATCTTCTTAAATGGTATTTTTATTTATATTTTAACATTTATCAATATTGGTATACTGTCAATTATTATGATAGTTAATTTTTTATTATATTTTAGTTTTTAAATTGATTTTTCCCATTTATATTGATGCAATAATTTGGTACATGCAATGTTTGGAAATAATTAAAAGCAGGATTTTAAACATATACGTAAATTTTTTTTTATATGACCTGATGAAATTTCAAAATGGCCAGCTTAAAACCTCGCACACTAAAAAAAAAAACTTGAAATGACACCCCTGATTAAAATTATTGTCTATTTGTTCTTTTATATCTTATTATATTTAATTTTTGTAATTTTTCTCTTAATTATTATGTATTATTTCACAATTTAATTGGGCATGCCTCATTTTTAATAATAAATTAATAAATATTTTTCTATATACGACAACAAGCATTTTTAATTCTTTATTCCAAAGCAGAATATTTTTTGTAGTATTTCAATAATAATGATTTTGGTCGAGTAGCTTATGAATCATAGGCATTTAAAGTGTTTAGATGAATAGTTGTAAGCTATGTAACTTTAATAACATTAATAACTATAATTTGTAACTAACCATAACGAGCATCTTGCGTTAAATAGATTATCCCATTTATACATGTTATAGTAGACTATACGTATCGTCAAAAGCATCTATTTTGCTGCATGTAACTACGTCAATGACATTCGCATTTTAAATGAATTAATTCTCGCAGATCACCCTGTATGTACGCTAAGACAAAGCACGGCTTTCTTGAATTTTGATACATTAATTGTATATGCTGTAATATTTCGTCTTGTTAATGTAGGCATATGCCATTGTACATTAGTACCAACGTCACTATTCACTATGTATACATATTAGTGTACTACATATATATATATATTTATGACGTACTATGTGTCACTGTAAAGTAGGTAAAACTTTAAACGTAGAATGACTTGCTGCATGCCATAAAAAAATATTATTACATCCAAGAACACGGCCTCTCCTTCTGAAAATTCTTAGTTCTGACACAACAAAACCTGATGGCACTGCCTACCTATCTACTATGCGATGATATTCTAATCGTATACAATCACGGAAATACTATTCGTATTATTCGGGTTTTTTACTCGCCATTCAAAATATTTTTAAATTTAAAGACTTATTGTTAACAAGAATAATATTTTACATTATTATTATTATATTATTGTGATAAACTATACATCATGTTATATACGTGTGAAATTCTATATAGAAAGCACTAATTATGATATTTATAAATTATAACAATATCATTAATATCGAAAATATCTTTCGGTCGTTTATACTGTAATAATTGCTTATACTTCTTTGATCTTTACCGGATCAGCGTTTAATATACATAATGTAATTTTTGAATTTAATCAACAAATAAAAATAAATACGAAAATGTTTACGTTCATTGCGCCCGATGACAATTACTACCAATTAGAAATTATTAAACACTTTCACGGAAAACTACTGGAGATTTCGGTTATGAAAGTTGCTAAAATGGGATTAGTATAGATAGTAGAAGTCTAATGTCAATAAATCGTGACTCGTATTTTAAGCAGCGAATGAATCAACAATTCAATGATGCCGAAATCGTCCAACCCTGCCATACAATCAATCATAATTGTATACTCATTATTGAACGCCTTATTAAAGATAATTATATTATTATTATCCATTCATGAGTAGGTATAGCTATAGATATAAATATATTTTTTAAATGTTATTTTAACCTTTATGAATTAATATTTGATATAATTACGTAAAGACGTTATATTATATATGCATAATATAGATAAAGTCGTTTCGAGATCATAATAATTATTTTAACGACAACCTATTTCCCAACAGTTATGAGTTTATTGTAACTTGTTTATAATAAATTGTACTCTATTATAAAACGTAATATATTAATAAATAAAAATAAATGATTTTATTTAGTTTTAGTTAGGTTTACTGAGGATGTAAAATAATGTATTAGAATATATTTTTATTTAACATATTGTGCACATAACTATATCATGTATAATAATATAATAGGTGATATAAACATATAAAACTGGAATTACGGGATCTGAGAATCTCCAAAATTCTTATAGGTAAGTAACGAATAATAAGTGGAGGTTAGTCTTAGTGGTCTAATACGAACACCGTCAAAGGTTGTTTAATCTTGGATGGGTGACTAATGGGTATTTATGACTACGAACAAAAAACGAATTATTTTTACATACCTACCTACTCCTATAATATAAAAATATTGTTTGATTATTATTTGTTTTAGCTTTAACATATTTAGGGTGTCATTGAACCAAACATACACAAATAAAATATCTACCTATCTACTCGTATATGTATGAAAATGAAATAACTGTGCGTGATATTTAGCATAAACTAACTAACTAATGTGTGCTTTGTAACTGTTACTGCAGTGTGTGATATAATTAATATAATTACGACGTCATTGAGAATACTCAGAGGTTTAGATTCATATAAAACAATTAAAATAGTTGTCAAATACGCACAAAAAAAAAAATCATAGATTTTATCTCTTTTATCTTTGCAATGTCGTATACCCTATTACTTATGATTTATGCTATTATACAAATACTATATTATCTATTAAGCATATACAATTAATATTAAATGATGAATTTAATTTTGTTAAATAACATATTTCATATATATATATCATAATATATGGCATGACGTTTTAAATTTTCAAAAACAAACGATCAGTGACTGGAAAAGACCCAACTATTGTATAACAGCTTAAATATGTTTCATCATCACGAAATTTTGCCTTCTGGGTTAAATTAAAATTTAGAACGAAACAAATTGTAGAAATTATGTGACCATAATATCATAAAAAAGAGCAAATCATTATTATTATAAAAGATTATAATATTTATTAAAATTGATACGAGTCCAAATAGCAATTTATATTAATGTTATTAGTTGTAATAAAAATTATATTACTCGTACATGCATTTATACGTGTGTATACGTTTTTAGTGTAACTCGATTTTGCCTGGAGAAAAATGAATGAACATAAAATATGACGCTCAGTGTAACTACGTTTTAGTATACCTAAGTTCACTAATCGGCAACAGTGTACCTACTGTATCTCGCTTAATGAACTAATTCAACTAAAATGAGCAATTCTTAAAAAAAAAGTTAGATATATCACTTAATAATTTTCGAACGTGGTTCAAACTACTCTTGAAATATTCCTGATATTTTTAAAAACAATCTATACAATTTTCGTTAAAATAGGCGGAGCACAGTTTTTAAGTACATAGCGACAAACATAAGGATATTTCCTTTTGCTGTACATTTGAATAAAAAAATGCCTCCTATTTTATTTTTATTTAAAAAACAATTGTAAAAAAACGTATGGCGGGTCAACTAATCTATACGATGTTATATTTTTTTCCGGTAACTAATGGCAATCTTATCGATGTATGTAAATACATATAATATATAAACAAAAATATTATTTAGATTTTGTGATCTAAAATTAAATTTATGTATAAATCACCTTCCTAGCTGTAGTAACCTGTAGTGGTCAAAAAAAGAAACTTAAATACACTCTAAGCCTCATTGAATCTATTTGCATAACTTTTATTGGAATCAGACCAGTTTTTGAGATTAGCTGTTAGTAGAAAAAACTCATTTCACATTTATAAAACACATAGCAGATAGTATATTCAGTATAATAATTATTACGAGTATAATTATGTTCATACTTCATATAGAGTGCACAAGTATTAGTAATAATGTGCTCGTCTAAAATATGGAAAAGAAACTAAATAACAGTATAACGCGATTGACTACCTACCTATATTATAATGTATAACATAAGTACCATAAATAAATAATATACAAAAAATATACACAATATACCTATTATGCATCAATGTGATGTATATTTTAGTTTTTCGGTATTTTAATTTATTCGAATTGATTAATGATGTTTCAAGACAAGTCGGCTTATAATAAAATAAATATGACATTACTATATAATTTTAAAGCATAAATACCTTCTCCGTTTGAGTGGATATCGACTGTTGTGGCTGTACACTCTTGTTGAACCATTCGTCCGGAGGGAACTGAGTGGCACAACAGTAGTTGTTAGACTTTCGGGATTTGGAACTCGATCTGCGGCTGCCGAACAGTCTCGAAAAAATACCCGGTGACTTTTCTGCGAATAACACACCAACGAATATTATATTATATACTCACTGCGCCGTAAAATTAGGTATTATTATTATTGTTGTTATTATTTTTCAATGCGCTCGTAGCGTAATTGGATATTTTTCACTATATAATTAGCTTAATGTTAGTACGCGATATTATATGGGTATTATTATTATATTAGCATAGAATCGTCTGCAGCGAGTGCAGGTACTTACTCGGTTCCACGGACACGCCACCGTAGCAATCGTCCGTTTTGTTTTTGTTCGATATATGTCTCATCGAACCGCTCCGCTGTAGCGTGGTCTGAAAGCGGCGGGACGCCGAGTTGGTCCTGAGCGAGTTGCGTCTACCCAGCCTGTCGCCGGATGTATCCCGCCTGGGCGACAATGTTTTATCATCCGAATTACCTGCGCAAACGACCAAACGTCATATCATAATTTCTATAACTAACGTTTATAATATTATAACATGATGGATACAGTACACAAGGAACTTATACATAAGTTGTAATAAATGGCAGATATTTTTATACGTAAATATATGCATTATGTTTAGACGCAAATTTGGCTCGTATAAATAGATACATTAGGTTATTCTTTTAAAGGTGAACACTCATTTCTCGAAAAGTATTAATGTATTAGACACATTGTAGTTTCAAATAATTTAAAATCAAATAATTTAAAATTACATTTTTTTAAATAAACTATATTTTTTATTTTTTTTATATTTTACTGTTTTTATTGTGATACTTTTTTGAATGACAGCATTCACTATTCCATGTAGCAGGATAATTTAAATACATTTGAAAATTGAATTTCAAACGAGTAGTTAATTAATTCTAAATATGACTGAAATTTCAATGCACTTTGCGATTTACATTAATTTCTGAGACTAGATACTCATTTTATAACACAGAAAAATAGCATGATGTTATAATTTTATTCTATAACATCGCCTTTACAAGAATCGTTTATTATAAAAATATTATTAATATATTGTGTAGAGATTACGAGATATGAATAACGGGAGTTCAAATATAGTGTGTATGCACTCCTTAAAACTCTAAATAAGCAATACATTGAGTGATGTATCTCCAAATTATAACTTTTATATTAAATTAATCATATAATACATAAAATAATATACGGTGTTTTCGTTGTAGACTTATACGCTAGAAAAATAAAAATATAAAAATAAAAACACCTATTTGACCCAAATAAATATAATTAATACGTTTATGTAGGTACAAGGATTTAGTTGTAAGTTTGGAACTTGTATACTTTTAGTATTCGAAGTAGATAGTATAGTTCAAAGCAGAGGATCTATACTATCATAAGGAATTTATGTCGAATGGTTTGGCTGGCCCCTATGCTTTGTCTTTCCACTTCGCCTATATTATGTTTGTCGGCCACAGTAAAACAAACAAATGATACTATATAATAATAATAATTATATTATATAGCTAAAACTTGATTGCAGATTAATGACGGTAAGAAAAGTATGTTTCTGCAACGGTAATTCGTGTGTCACATATTAAAAACGTACGAGTATACACATATTGTGTAGTTTTAAATAAAATCTAGTCCTTTCACCTGTGTAGTAACAAAAAGTCCCATGTTAGCGGTTCCCTGTATGTTGGAATGATATAGTGTGTATGTGTGAGTGTTTGTGTGAGTAACGGTACGTTTTTTGATCTTTTTATGACGTGTTAAGGGGTACTTGATAAATGTTGTTGATGCGTTTGGTATTCAAAGTTTACCTTTTTGTTTTCATGTTGTCAACACTAGGCACACATGATATTACTAATAAATAATAATGTATAGCCGCATAATATTCATGATACGTTTTTGAACAACCGGATTGTAGTCGCCTATCGCCAATTAAAAAAAAATGTTTGATCCAATCATAAATTTTCATTTTATATTTGAAAGACTCGTATTTAGTTTATCGGAAATCAGAATTTAAAAAAAAAAAGAATGATATTAATTTAAAACGTTAAAGTTACTTACACACTCACACAATCTTATGAATATGCCTATATAATATGCAATATCAGTTATCATAGTGATTGATGTATGCAATAAACTACAAAACGAAGACGTTGATATTCAATACGATTATTATTTATTTATTACAAGAATTTTTGTTGCTAAATACTATTAGGGAACAAAATATACATAATTTTGTAATTCGGCGTTTTAAATATTAGATGGCATTTAAACTTACCGCCTGATATAATATCTGCCAAATTGGTTTGGATGTTTTGATGAGTTTGGTCACCGTCTCTTAAGGTCTCTATGTCACCGTGTACTTTCATATACGCTTCTTCTGTAGACATCAAGAACCCTTTTTTGCTTGGGCTATACCGGCTACTTCCTCCCAACCGCAAACTGTGTGCAGGGCTAGCGGTCGCTGAACCGACTAGTCGCTGCACCTCCGGCGTCACAACAAAGTAACCCCTGGAGGTCTGGTATATCTGTATAAAATTCCATTATATTACACTGCGTTGCCCGAACAATAATTCAGATGAAACCGGTTTATGAGGGAATTTCTTAGAGCCGAAGTTAATATGTTAAATATATATTATATCCCATGAAGCAATATCAGATACTATTTATTTCATTCAAGGCCGATAATGCATGAAGTTAAAAATAAAATTTCGTATCGATTTGCAGTTTTTATATTATATGATATTATATATATATACCTATTTGTTTTAATTTTATATACTTCATCATAAATCACATTACTGACGAAATAAAAATGTTTTTACTTTTATCTCATTAAAACTGCAGTATAATTATATTATAATTTTTATAAAAACATGTATGAATAAAATTTACTGTCGATGATATTTTTTAATTATAACTTATATAAATTACTTGATAAACGAGTTAAAATTAAATAATATACAAATTAAATTCTACGACTAAAAAATGAAAATCGAAAGCTTGTACAGTAGGTACATGTTGAAATATTTTCAGGATATAAGCATCGAATTAAATACAGGAATATTAAATTGAATTAGGTTAAAATGGCTTATACGTGATTTTATTTTTATATAATACCTTATTATCAGACATTAGATTGACCATCGCATCATAGATAATGTGTTCGGCCGGCGGTTGTATGTTGGAGAAATATATTTTTAGGGCTGAACGCACAGTGTCAATTGTGGCATTTTGGTTTGCGCTGGTCAGCTCCAGTATGACTAGGCATAGGGCTTCAGATAACGGAGTAAATTGTCCTTGATTCAAGTCCTCCACTACGCAATCTTCAATGTCGCCTGAAACAAACAAATATACCTATTATAATACGTAATATTATAAAATAATTAATATTTATTAATACTATTATTATTGTGTATGTATAATTTATATGATTGGTTATATAAAATGTCATATTACATTATTAATACACAAGAGTGCAGACGTGCTGCTAATATAATAATAAAATATAAAATTTTTGGATATGAATAGTATTACCAATTTTAGTGATAACGTAACTGTTCGGTGGCCTGAGTACATTACGGCACCAGGCGCCTCTTATTACCTCCATGGAACATGGATCACCGGTGAGCAACAACACTCCCGGTGAGACGTATCCCTCATATTTGACTACTTGCATCGCTTCTACGAGACTTCGATTCCAGACACATTTTAGATTCGACTCCAAAAAGCTCTAAAATCAAACATTCCTCGTAAAATTAATTTTAATTTCGTATTATTGTACATATTTCGAATAAAAATAAAATTCATAAATTTTTATATATTCGTGTATAAATTTATAATTTATTGGTAGAATATTTTTATATTATACACATAAAATACGTACGCACAGTAGACAATACGTTATAATTTATAATAATAATCTATTTAACTATTTAAAAATTCCATCATGTCATTGTATTATTATAGAAAATAGCACGCACAATTAGACAGTAGTTGTATTTTAATGATTGTTAGTCATTACGAAAAGAATAGAAGAACAATGTAAATAATATAATAAATAATAAATGAGTAGGCACTATAGCTGTACTCTATAGATATTGATTGTGCGTCAGTTAAATGAATCTCATTATAACTGCAAAACATGTAGAATCTATATAGTATTCTATACCTGAACATGTACCATGTACCTACCTATTTCATTTAAAATATTTTCTTGGAGTGGCAAATAATTTTAAGGTAAAATTCAGGTTAAAATTTGTCAACAAATATGTATTTATACGTCGCTTATAAGATGTAAATTGAGTCGTATTAAATTATGTATATAATGGAGCTTGACTATATATAACGACCAATACCAATGCCTGTAAGGTATATAGTATAATATTATACATACAATCTATTGGGAACAATATTTTGTAAAGATTATTATGTATTAGTACAAGACGGTATTCGATTGACTAAAAACTTATTGTGTTTTATACTCTTTGTTTACCTAATATATTGCTATAGATACGTAAATGGTAAACATTGGTAATTAGGTTGTACTTATACTTTTAAGTATTATTATAATATATTTAATGTAACATATTATAATATATCGTATATTGATTCAGTCTTTTAGTGACTTGGAAACATTTTATGAGATGCAAAAAAAAAAAAAAATATTTCACAAAACTCCACTAAACAACGTCTACAACTATCTTCGGATTAAAAAACGCAATAATAATAATAAAATAAAAAAATCCAAAAAGAGTATTATGCATTTATAATAATTTATTCAAATGAGAAGCATTTAGATGCGAGCTGATTATGTAAGTTTATGCGTTGCGTTATTAATACCTATAATATAACTGTGTCGATCACACAAAAATTTACATACTGGAGGTGAAAAACTATGATTACATTATAAATAGATTATGGTTGAATGACCAATTATCGCTAATACAATATTTCGAAGGTGCATACAATTTTAACATCATATAGTATTATGTGTGACATAATACATTTATTATTTTATAATTAAGTGTACTCGCCTGGAATATTAGGTACCCGTTGTCGTACATCCAGTACGGAGAAGTTTCCGCTTGTTGTGGGACGTACCGGACAAGCGATTGTTTTTGAAGATGTATGGCCATACATCGTTTTAGTATGTAGTGGCATCTGCATCCTACAGGACTTTTAATCCTGCTACTACTGCGAGTGCTCATCGTTCACCAACTACACCGATAACACCGATCTGTCAACAATAAAGATTCTGTTAATCATATTATTTATTATTATTACGCCGTGTTATAGCTGCAACTACGTGTAGCTTAAAGCACCGCGGAACACGGTCGTTAAAGTCTCTGTACATAATATAATAATTTTGACAGCTAACAACAAATTCGGCATGACGAGGTTAACGGATAAGTTTGATGTGTTATGTAGGCGCATAAAATGTATTATATTATATATTATATGTATAACCCGTGTAGGTACATAAACATGTATTTATACCACATATTAAACATATATATAATAAATATGTGCACGTGGTTTATTATACATGTATAATATATATTATATTATATAGAGCCAATAGAACATTTCGCTCGGAGACAAGTTTTATATACAAACTGGTTTCCGTGCGAACCGTTTCTTCGTCGTCTTGCAGTATATATAATATATACCCTTGTTTCCTCCATTGATGCGAAATATCAAAATAAAAAAACTCACGCACTCGTATACACATAATATAATATATACCTTTATACCACCTATATGGCTATATATATATATATACTATATAGGTATATTTAACTTTCACATTTCGCACAAATATATTATATTATACACATATACATAAGTGCTCGTATCGATCATGTTTTTTCTTTTTAAATACCACCGTGATAACAACACGCACCGCGTAGATTTAAACTTTGTATGTACATATTATATATTATAAAATGTAGGTATGAATATTATGTTATAAATATGTAACAATATCCAATATAAGGTGTAAATAATGTATCATCCTATAAATTCCATTAGCGCAACGCGTTACGTTATTATTATTATTATTATTATATATCATTTAAAAGAAAACAAACTACGTGTAGGGTTTAACTTTCACAAGTCCGAGTTTTTGTTACTCCACGATGATGGGAATGCCACGGGAAACTGGATACGACGAATGCGACGATGACCGACTCTGTTGGATTCCCATTATTATTAATATTATTCGCATTTGGTAAGTAATAGGAACAGTAAAATTTTACGTAGTCATATAGCATTTTCTTTCCGAAAATGCGACAATAGTTTCTGTACTTTAATGATTAGAAATTATGAAATAAATATGATATACCACGGTTACGAAAAAAACTACAATGAACGTCATAATTCTTGAAATACAAAATTTAAATTAAATATTATAATTTATATGTCTACTCGAGTAGTTTATTGTTTTTTTACGAGTAACTCGTTCTATACAGACTACTGCATTAGTAAGTTAGATATATATATATATAGGTTTAGTATTTTTTTTTCAAAACTATATATCTATTATGGCTTTTTTATCATTATTATTATTTATTTACCTTCCTTATAATTATTTTTGCGGAACGCACATATTATAACCACGATGTACATGGTACGCGTTGTGACACAAATTTCACTTGGAAACGCGTGTATAAAAAATAAAAATTGTACAAACAATTTCTATATACAGGCAATCCTACATAGGCAGATTTGTTTTCGATTCGTGGACCATAAATACTGAATTTATAAGTTGTTCCGTGTACATATTTATCCAGTATCAGGATTTGCACTATGCGACAATATATTATATTATGCATGTGTCCAACCCCTCTCCACCATTAACTATTTTAATATACTGTATAAATCATACATGTATGGTCACACACGACTATTATTGTATGAATAAAACGTGAAAAGTTAGGTGTATCACATAGGTACTAAAGTACCTACATATTATAACACATAGTTATTTTATTCTTTATATTATTATTGTGCTAGTATTTATATTAGATTTGTATACTTGGCTTTTATAAAATTTAACAATATATAGGTTATATGGTCTTTGCAGTAGATATCTTTTTATAGTGAAATGCCAAACATAAAAAATCTCTATAAATTCGTCAAATCAAATAATAATGAATAGATGACCAAGAAATTTAGCAATTGACATAGTTTAATATATATAGATTATAGGTACTTAAAAAACTTATCATATTATTATAACAGAGAACATCAAAATTGTGTGTAATATGCACGACAAATATAATTTATTTTTTTCGGAATAAATTATGATTAAGGTTGTTAATAAAAATTTATAATATTTATGTAATATAGATTTATTTCCAAAGTTTAATATTACTTATTAATAGTTTATCTTATAATAATTTAATTTATTAGACAAATGCATATACTCAAAGAATTATATTTGGAGATCTCAAACTATCACTGTAGTCTTTAGTCCTTAATCACCTTGTACTAGGAAATACTAATTATGGAATATAACCATTAACCATACATGTATCTGCAATCATCTGTTTGCGTTTATTTAAATTTTAAGTACAATTGTTTACTCTCGATTAGACGTTAGTTTTATTTAAAAAAACCAAGTGGCTTGAACACATGCTAAAAATCCTATCCACATATTGAGCTCATCATATATTATTATATAGAAACCTATTGAACGGGGGAACGCGCATTTTTTATGTATAATATGTTTAGCACAGCTGTTCAAATATCATAGCATACTTTTTATTATGATATATATGGAGTTGATCGGCGGTGTTTATTTATGAAACTTTAAACCATCTGCTTGGATGCATTTAGGTCATTTATATGTATACTATTCATCAGCGCTGCATCTCATAATGTGCACTTTACGTCATTTTATCTTTTTCTAATGGTTCAACTGGAAACAAAAATCTGTTTCGTAACATTGACATAATATAGGTAGGTAGATATTCAACGTTTCAATGGATTTTTCACTTATATAGGATGATAAATAAGGATTTTAAGCATTCACGATTGTTATACAGGCAACGATGAGTGTGAAAAAAATCGAGTATTTGATTTTAGGCAATAAAGTTTAACATACACAAAATACAATAAGACATGTTAATGTTTCATAGTATTACATTAGTTTTTTAACCTACAAAAATTATTTACTCTGGAACACATCATAATAATAATATTATGATATATTTTTTATTTATTTTTACGTGTAATACGATATTTCAACATTCTTTTAATATTAAAAAAAAAAAAAAAATGTGTGCAAACATTATTAAAAAATGTTAAAGTGAAGCATATAAATATTTTTTATATCTATTTAAAATGTGTATTTAATATTTTATCAACAACTTAAATAGATTATAGAGTAAAATTTAATTATTATTGCATTTTATCAAGTGAAAATTTAGAAAAAAAACAAAATTAATAAACAATACACTATACTTTATTATGAGAATAAATTTGAATTATTATTAATCTTATTTGTTTTCAAATACAAAAAGTGAACTTTTATTTTTAAAAGAAAACGTGTCAGATAGGTACTTATTAACGTTGCGGTTAACGTGTCGGATAATCATATTATAATTTTGTTTGTTTACCGATTTGAATTATCGAAAATTTATTTCGTCGAAGGTTTTCGGGGTCGCGTTAATACAATAGACTAATGGACTTTAAGTAAAAGTAATTTGCTTTTCGGTAGTACATGTATATATATTTATATAAATTATGTTGTCTACGTTGCGTGTTGATTTCTGCATTTTTTTGACTGAACCCGCGTATAAGTATAATATATGAGTAAAATACATCCATAACAGTATACCTATTACTCGTATAGATGTATATAAAACAGTAAAAATGTATGTTATAACTATTAAAATATTTTTTAATTTCAAACATAAACGAGCACAACACACGTGATGAGTGTTATATACGATACAACAATAATAATATAATCCCCTTGCATGATTGCCAGTAGAAAAGCATATTTTATACAATACTATACAAAACACTATACCGATATTTCATGTATTTTTATAACCATCCCTCGCGTCGAAACTGCAGCTTGAAAAAAACTACGATTTCCAATGTATACCTACAATACCTCTGCGCGCGCGTTGTATAGTGTAGGTTTTCGGAAAAACCACAGCTGTCGGGGGTGAACGCGTGCCGTGTATAAAACCTCTGCAATGTCGTGTGTGCCCAACACGATGAGCACACGCGCGCAGGAAAGAACGCGACCCCCCACACCACCGGTTAATGTATCATGTATACGGAACCCTAGGAGATATCCTATTTCCTCTTTGAATGTGTGTGTGTGTGTGTGTGTATGTTTGATGCAGCAGCCGCGCAATGTCATCAGCCGCCATTGCAATAATACCTATATAATATTATATACAGCAGCTAAATGGCATTATATTTACGTATATGCAAACGTTGACCTTGAATAGACCGCGATAAGACTTTATTATTATGTATTGTTTTCTGTTTTGATCGAACGACCATGATCGGTAATAGATATTATAGTATATCAATATATAAGTATAAACATGCAATAATAATACATAGTCACAGTGAATACACTCACACATATACACACACTAAAATACGATTCGTGAAGCCGGATTAACGCTACACGTATGTCTTGAAAAATACTCTTACGAAACGAGTGGACCAATAGTATCTATACTTATAATTTATATTATACTGATAAACAGCCGCGTCGACCCTGGACGGACAGCTAAACATATGTCACACGACTGGCGGGAAACTCCATTTTTGAATGCTCTTTGCGTATTATCGATTTCGTATTGGACAGATCGAAGGATCCACGGAGAAGTTGCAATTAATTAAACCCCATATTTAAGCGCGTGCATGAAAGTATAAAAATATTTGCGACATATTTTTAAAAAAACAGCGTTAGCAGTATTAAAATTTAAATAATATACTTATTTATAACCGACACGCATAAAACATTACGTTGAATTTGAGACTGTTATTGTAATAGTATGTAAGTATAGAATAGATAATTATTAGAATAAGAAAAAAGTCTTTCTCTTCTCTAGCAGTAGTGCTTTCGTATGTCATTATGACGCATTATAGTTGACGTTTTTGATACATTAAATTATGCGTGTACATAATATAGACGCGATAAAAAAGAAACAATAGAGTTGAAACGGCAGAGGTCGCTTGTGTTCAATGTTCAAAGTTCGCCTA